TATAAATATAAAGCACTTGGCATCCCTGATAGGCGTGAACCCACTATCCATAAGCTGAGAGTCAAACGCAATAACCATTAGGCTTATTAAGCTAATCCATGCGAAGGGCGAGTTTTGTCAATCCCTTTACCATGAGCATTAGACAGAGACAATATTGTTATAAGTTCTTCCAAAACATGAGATAACATATTATTCTACAGATTAAAGAAATGTTTTCTTATGTTTCATGCTAATTTACCTGCCAGAACAAGCTCGAAAAGGATGCCTTTTTTATTGACCTTTTTATTAAAAACCATTTTCAAGTATGAAAAAGACCAAGGATAGCTGCAATTAACTTAAGAAATCTCACATATTGAACATTTCTTTATCAGATTACATTGATAATATTCTGGTACGGGCGACGGTTGTTTTAACAGCCCGGTACTAGGAAAATCTGGATACTCTGATTTTCGGAAAACGAACGGTAATATTCTATACCAGGGCAAAAATTACCGAACACTGACAATAAAAGAATATCTCACAAAAAATTTCAACCGATAGCGAGCAGTTGATAACTACGATGTGTAACTTTAAACTCCATCTTATCTGTCCATGCTACAAGTGAAGGAGTTTCATTTCAAAAGAAAAAAAGATAACTCTGTAACTTAAAACCACACATGTACAGTCATGTAGCATGCACTTCCATGCTGTTTGACCCGACATTTTCCTAGGTGCTGCACAATTCGTGATGTCACTTAGATATGGACATTTTTGTAAATTTTAAACAGGGGCAGTTCTATATGTAGAGTTAGCAGAGTAAAAGTTCAATCCTTATAACTAGCATATTAAGTAATCTACAGTAATTGCAGCTGATACCAATATTGATTTATATCACATTCTACAGTAAAATATAAAACATTTCATCATTAAGTATTTGTGACAAACATTTTTATGACATACAAACGGTCATTTAGATATTTCACAAACGTTCATATTTCAAAATAATAAAAGATATTATATATTCATCAAATTAAATCTAATCATTGCGACAGAAAAAATGACATGTAGAATATTTGCATCATGGAAAACATTTTGAAAGGGAGTTGGCTGTGGTATTGTCCGATCCCAAATGAAACAACTCGTACAAACACATCATTTAAAAAGATATAAGAATACCCGTATCAGTAACCACAAAAAATGAATCATGTATCTTCCGCTAATACCCGCCCTCGACAGGAGATGTTCTGATAACGTTCGTCAGTCTGACAGGAACGCTTGTAGTAACTGCACGTGATATACAGCAGCATAAATATGTATTGTTATAACTTATTTAGTTTGTGCTTGTGGATTTTATTAATAGGCAGTAAGTTTAAATTTATGAATTACAAAAAAAATATAATACAAGTAATTATAATTAGCAGTATTTGAATAACATATTTGTGTTTTTGTATGAACATGGATTCGTACAGACTCTAATCCGTTGCGCCATTATGTCAGTCGAGAACAATGATTCCAAATCGTTTTATCCTGTAAATTTATACAACCTCGGTTGCTAGAATAATTATATCTGTCATATATTGCGGTTTAGATCGACATAATCGTCCCGAGGGGACCCGCCCACAGGACAGTAACGAGGGTTTCCGGGCGCGTTCCTGAGGGATGGATATTCCGATCCGAACAGCAAACATATGTCAGATATTTTTTTCTTCCATATTCTACCATAGTCCATTATATTTTAAATTATTTACCTTTATAAAACAATTTTCAACGGAAATTTATGTCATTACACCCGTAACTATTTTCTTATAACAGCGTATGAAATAACAGCTCAAGATTTCAAAATTTCATTTAAAACCAAGGCATATGATATGCATTAGGTTATGATAGGTTATAATAATATAATGAACAGTTATTCAAAAGTGATTAACAAAACATTATATACATAAGATTATATAATAATGAAAAAAGTTTGACTTACACATATAACACAAATACGTGGATTGATAAAAAAGTTCTTGACTCGATGTACTTTCTGTAGTCAGAGAACTCAACTAATGGTCTTACTTTTCAATATAATCGCCCTCTACATCAATGCACTTTGCCCACCTGTGCTCCAACTTGTTTAACCCTTCAAAATAGAACTCTCTATTTTTGCCCGCAAAAAACTCATTGACCGCCTCCATGACACCTTTGTTGCTTCCAAAACGTCTACCACGAAACTTGGTTTTCAGTTTCGGAAACAGGTAGACACCAGACGGGACATAGTCCAAAAATATGGGGGATGGGGAAGAATTTCAAAGCCACAGTCAGTTGCAACAGCCATCGCAACTTGGCATGTGTGAGCTGGCGCATTGTCGTGCTAGAGCAGAACGCCTTGAGTCAGTTTGGCCCTCCTTTTACGTGCGTTTCTAGTAGCAGTTGTCTCAATTCTTCAGCATAGTATGTACAGTTTATGGTACGACCTTGTTTAAGATAGTCAATCATGATAATCCCCTGACTATCCAAAACTAGAACTCCGCGAGTCGGATGTGTCGCCTTGTGAACAATGTAGTTTAGGAGAAATGGCCAGGACAAAAATGAAATATGAAAAATAACAAAGGGCAATAACTAAAAAAATGATAAGTGCAGAGCAGCAGTTTCTGTGCACTGCACTTCTTATCAATAAGATCTATCATTCTATGATGTTTCAAGTCCATAGCTTTCATACTTGAGGAGAAATGACCAGGACAAAAATAAAGTAAGAAAATCAACAAAGGGCAATAACTCAAAAAATAAGAAATGCAGAGTACCGATTCTTATGCACTGCACTTCTTCTTAATGAGATCTATCATCCTATGAAGTTTCAAGTCCATAGTTTTTATACTTAAGGAGAAATGGCCCGGACAAAATTAAAGTATGAAAATAAACAAAGGGCAATAACTCAAAAAATAAGAAATGCAGAGTACCTGTTCTTGTGCACTGCACTTCGGGTTATTGAAAGAAGCATGCATACCAAGTTTGAAGTCAATCAGACTTATAGTGACTGAGTTATGCTCCGGACAAGCTTTAGGGGACGCCGACAACGACGCCACCGACACAGACGCCGCCGACAAAAGTAACCCCTATATGTCACCTTTTCAAGGCGACACAAAAACGAAGCCATCATCTTCCCTGCTGATGACACCCTCTTGAACTTCTTCGGAGGAGTGAACCGGGGTGCTTCCACTGCATGCTCTGTTTTTTTGTATTCTGGATCGAAGTGATGGACCCATGTTTCATCCTGAGTTACGATCCGGTAGATAAAATCAGGTTCCTCCTCGTTGCGAGACAAAAGAAATATGGAAATGTCAAGCCTGGTCCGTTTCTAGTCAACTGTCTGGGGACCTATCTAGCAAAAACCTTTGACATGCCATAGGCATCAGTCAGAATTGATTGCCTGAACTGAACCAAAGCTTATACCCACTTCCCTAGCATAATTCGCAGGTCTCGCCTTCTGTCGCACATGACCAGATGGTGCACAGCTTTGGCAGTTTCGTCGTTTGTGGCCTCTTTTGGCCGCCCAGGCCGTTCATCATCTCCAATGCTCTCCCTGTCCCTCTTAAATTCAGCAGCCCAGTATAGCACAGTGCTATAGGAAGGGGACTCCTTCCCAAGTGTATCCATGAAGTCTTCATGGATGCTTTGGGGGACATTCCTTTCTTACAGAGGTACTTAATGACAGCTCCGATTTCAACTTTCTCCATTTGGTTTGAATGACACACCCCTCTACTATCCAAAGTATGTTTTATGCTACTTTATCTGTGTAAAACCGCGTATAACTCTGTCAGTTATCTTCAATTAGATATCGGTATCGATGTATCGTGTGTAAATGTCAGTGTAGTGGCTAGAAGTATATCGGGCCGAGAACTTTTTTAATCTTCCTCGTACGTATATGACTTAACTTAACTCTTTGGACACGATTTGTCTTACACAAATGCTATCTAAATTATTTTTTTGTTAATACACTCATACAGGTTGAGAAAATCATGCCATACAGGAGAATAACTTATTTGAATTTTGAAATAATATTTTTTCAGTATAATGCAAGTTTTAATAAAGATGTATTCATTAAAGATTCTAATTCATAAATATAAGGATGATTTGAATAATAAACTTTTAACGAAGACAATTAAAAAAGTTACATTCAAATAAGTAATTGGACATAAATACATATTCTTTAGTTTCTTTCATTGTGTAAATTTCTACCTTTTTCTATAGGTAATAAGTGGTTCATAGTTCTGAACTTACAAAGTATTTTACAAAGATTGAATGGTAATACATCTAAATATTCCTTCAGTATACACAAGATAAATTAAACATTTAGGACACACCATTGAAGATATCATGCCATACAGGAGAATAACTTATTTGAATTTTGAAATCTTTATTAAAACTTGCATTATACTGAAAAAATATTATTTCAAAATTCAAATAAGTTATTCTCCTGTATGGCATGATATCTTCAACATTATGAAGAAATAGTTCGTACCAAAGATGCGTTCGGTTTAGGGAATCGAACGCTTTTCTATGGTCAACAAAAGCACACAAAAAATTTTTCTTATAATTTAAGCATACAATTGTATAGCACGAGACTCATATGCACGCCTGTCAAACTGTAGCACCACTATACGAGCGAACGGCATTTCCGAAATAGAGCGGAAGGCCGATTAAAACGGCTCATTGTAAGTATTGTTTATTTTTATTTGTTTGGGTTGTCAGACCAAAACAAATAATGATAGCGAAATTTCAGACCCTGATGTTCGTATTTGCAAATGCCGAAAGTCGTCCAAACTCCTCGAAGCGGTTACTTCCCTTCATATGTACATTAACTCCGAAAAATGAAAGGGAGATCACTGCGTAAAGATTGTCAAATGACAGGCGCATTAATTTTCGTAAAAAAAATAGTTCCCGATTGGCCGGAGATTTCTAATATTGGGTTATTCTTATAGATATACATGCTTATATTCAGCTCCATGATTATTTACTTCAGTGTTAAACAACAGGTTTACCGTGAACAAAATATATAGAAATTAATAACAGTTACGAACTCTAATTTAGAATGATATGGTACTCTTCTTATAACTCCCCGTGGTCGAGGGGTTTACACGCTCGCTTTGGAAGCGAGAGGTCTGGAGTTCAAATCACAGTTCAGGCAACTTTTTTTTTAAGCCAAATAAACATCAGTGATTAGTCTTATAGCCAATTTACTATAGTTATAGTCTGATTTTATTGACCTGTCAATTATGCATACATTATAGAACTCATTTAAATATTCGATCCCACTTCGGTTTGGTCCGTGTAGTTTACGAGAATTAATGTGGAGTATATTAGTCATGGATTGAAAGTCACGCCAGCTTAATGTGAAGGTTTTCGTTAATTCACAATAGTACAGTCGGTTAAGAGAATGCCTGATAATTTAGAGGTCTGTGGTTCGATCCTTGCTGTTGCCATTGTTTTAGTACTCTTTCTTTATTTTTGCCGTATATTTTAATGGAACAGTTTGTAGTGTGTTTTACAGCATTGAAAAGACATTTATTGATTTAAATCCGTTTTAATTTTAAACATGAATACTTAAAACATGTTATTTAAAAAGAATAAAGATATAACAAAATTAAGTAAAACATACTAAAACAAAACGAACAACATAAAATAATCATATATAGCTCCAATATTGTTGAAAGTATTAATAAGAAAATAAAAACATAGACCTACGCGGTCTCGAACTTAAAACACGTGTGGCACTTAGAGTATAAGCTCGTGCTTTACCATATTGCGCTATAACGCTGAGTACACTTTGTTGAGAGATACAAATTAAATTAAATTCCATCGTACAGCGTACATCTCACGGAACTTACCGAAAATCTACCGAAGATTAATATACTGTGTGCATCGACCGTGTAATCAGTATGTAATTGACAGGTTAATAAAACCAAACAATACAATACTTGAAACAGCATTGGTGACACTATACAAAGAAATTGGTTTACAATTTTCTCACAACCTTCACCTTTCTGACATTCTGAGACCCAAACAAATTCAGCGCCTCCTGTGCTTTGATTTTTGCCTTGTAATTCACCTTAGTTGTATTTTTTCGTAAACGAAAAATTTATTTCCATGTAGGTTTGTTTTAGGCTTCCAATGTTCTAAGCTGTTACAAAAGGAAAATTAAATTAAACCCGAGAGAACTTCTTTCCCTGACGAAGTGAACGACGATTTGTAGAATATTGAACTTCAAAACCATTAAGATGCTCTTCCCTTCGGATTCGTTTTTAATTTTTGCAACATAAATTTATCCTGGTTGATTTCTTAAATTTGTATATCGATATTCTTCGAAAGTAGAAGAGCCATAGGGCAAGAGATCGAGCAAAAGGTTCGATGTTGAAAACAAGGCGATATTAATTTGACAAATTAAGAGAAGCGTAGTCTATGATTTATTATATATAAAAGCTATAGAAGTTAAAATAGACATGATCAAGTGTTGAGACCGAGATATATATACCTTTTAAAGACAACTAATAAGTGTGATATCCTTTCAGCTTCTATAGCGTTATACTAGTAAATGTAATCGCGAATGTGTCACACATGGCTATTCGACGGTCTAGTGCTATAAGGGCGGAAGTAGTACTTGCGCCCTTTTACATGTTTTACGCCATTCGAAGCAGAACGTAACCGCGCACCTGCTGACAAAATATCTTTACCCTAGCATTTAAGTTGGCTTCAATATCGAAGAATGAATGGTAGGGCGTAAGTGCACCGAGCTCAAAAGGAACATTTTATAAGGGCGTAACTACACCATAACTACTACATCGTGCTCAAATTTTATAAGATCCTAAGTAGCAGTTAGGCCCTTTTAAGATTTTGATACGTTAGTTCAAACAGATAGTCGGATAATCACACTTACGCACGTTAAGACTTTGTGTCACGAGTCAGGGACATACCTTGACACATTTAAGGATAAGGGGGTAAAACTGAATCACTAGAAACAAAATGACATGATTAAAGAAATAGCAATATTGCATTAAAACAGGCGCTTTGCATGTTTCGTAAAATATAGGCCTCTAGTTGTACCTATCTATAATCAGGTGGGAGTGGGAGGAATGTCCCCTCCCATAGACCGAGAAAATTCCAAAAAGGAAGCAACGATATTGCATTAAATTGTCTTTATAAACATTCATAATTTTGTCATGTTAAAGAATGTTTATTCTACTCCGATAGCTTTATGTGGCTTCATTTTCAACAATGTGTCTTTGTGCAGTAAACACTTTAGAAACTGACAAAATCCACACCAATTCTGTTAAAAGTCATTCTAAGATGACAGGAGACATCGTGCATGTGAAGCTTGTAAAAGGGTCGATAGGACCCAGATTACATAAAAGCTAATATGAATAATTACTTTAAGGGAAAACTGTTAATTAATTTTTTAAAATAATTACGAAGGTTTTTGTACATTGGGCCATTGGACAACACTGTGTGACGGGAATAGACTATGGTATAGTAGCATTAGTTGTTAGATACAGTTGACATTGCTTAGTCTTAGTGTCATTGATCTAAAGTTGATTGTTAATTACAATAAAATTTGAATTTGGATCTGTTCGTAGTATAAATAGTGTATTCTTTCAAAATTTCAAAGTGCTTTTAAGCTTGTATTTGGCAGTTTTTTTAAGTAATTCTAATTCCAACAATATGTACATGTATACATGAATACATGATTTGATGATAATATTTCATGTGTATCTTATGAATGATCATTCATTCATGCCTCAATACAGAAAAAAAGATTTATTTGTGTATTTTGTCTGAAAATGTATATTTCAGTTTTCAAAAATATTTTCAACTTGCTTGAATCAGGCTACTGTAACAAGAACCAAGGCAAAGGTTTAACTGTTCAAAACTCTTAAGGGCCAAGGTATTGTTTCAATGAGAGCAGATTCAAGTGTGTTTAGATAAGCTTACAACTTCCAACACAACCGAACTTAAATAAATTTGTATAAACTAAACAGTTAGAATTTGTATCAAAGTTGCCTTTATGTTTAGTATTAGCTGTCCTATATGCATCATTGTACATTAAGCGTTAATAATGTTCCGTCCTTGACGTTTAAGTGCTTGGGTGAGCTTTTGTCTGTGATAGGAATATGTCTGTCGTCCGTCGTTAACCACAAGTTCTTTAGAAATATCTCTTCTTTAATCCTAATGTGGATTTTAATCCAACTTGAAGTACAACCTTTTCCATTAATGGTTTCAATGGGCCACATGAAACTACGACACAATACTCAGAGCTTAGATAGTTAACATGTAGCATTACTACGTCGGTTTTTCACCAGTCATTTAAGTTAATTCTAGGAAAGAATCAATTTGATGTAACTTCTAAGCTAAATTATATAATAAGCAGCTGGAAGTTAATTTAATGAAACATAGAAACTGTTCTAAATTTTATAATTATGTAACAATTACAATCAATACGTGTTTTATTTATCTGTCATGTAACCTTCACATACAATGTCATAGGATAAAAGACAAAGGATACTTTAAAAATGGTCACTTATTATAATTCATTATTGTTATAGATAAAAACAATTATATAATTGTATTTAAAAATTAATGAATACACTAAAATCTAAAAGGGCATATATGGTAGTTACGCCCTATTAAGCTAAGTCGAAGTAACAATTTTAAACAGCGTAACTGCTAGTTACGTCCTTTTAGAATTATTGGCCGATGCATGAAAATGTAAATATTGTAAGGGCATAAAACGGATTTCGTGAATTTTATTAAGGTGATGGGTTATTTTAATTTGAAAAATGTTTTAAAAAAGTCGATATTAGTTGTTCTAAGTGTGTCCCAAATTTTATCATGATTGATAAAGGATCAAAGTCTGCAGACAGTTTTTTTCAATTTCCCAAAACTTGTAAAAATGCATTTACGCCCTTATAGCACTAGACCGTCGTATTGTAGATTCCATATTTATGTTCCAAATTTGGAAGTGGTTCCAACATTGAATCATATGCATAGCGTAATACAGGATGTCACTTATTCGAGGTCAATCATGATTTCTGACACGGATATGTACATATAAAAACGTGTGTCCGTACAAATCGACAAATCGAATATTTTCAGTTCTACCGGGAACAAATGGTTCTGAGCAGGTGCGTGTAGCGGGATTTATCCCGCCAAAATGTCATGTTGATATTCAATGTGCAGAACAGAGACAAAATTAGACAATGCACTTGACACATTAAATGGATTACTACTACCATTTTAAGTACAAACAGTTCCTTTTCCTGTGACTTTCTGTAACCACTAGCTCTAATGTACACGTGTACGATCAAAGGCAAATAAGCTACGTTTTCATGAAATTGGAAGACTTCTGTAAGGTTATTCTCTATAAAAATAAAATGATCGATTTGAAAAAACTTAGATGAATTACAAGACAAAATCATAAACAATACTTACGATAAGCCTTTAAAGCGATCTCGGAAATTCCGTTTGCTCGTATTTCCGTACACCACAATTTTGAAGTGGAGCAACAGTTTGCCGGGCGTGATCTGGCACCCCCATGCCAGATGTAATTTTGGCTTGGGTAAAACTAACTTCCAGTCTGATATGCAAGAAAAGATTGTAAAAGATAATTTATTATTATTGTTTTTTTTATATTTATTATTGCATTTAATCTTTACACTCAATCTTCTTATATGTATTTTTTATTTACTAAATAATACGATTGTTTATATAGTTTGTGAGAACTGAGATATCCAACATCATCGTTTTAAAGATATTTGACAGTCTCGTTAAAAACAGTTTTAAGATATACATCAGACTTATATAAGTTTAGAACTGTTTTTATTCTCAGGAGAAACAATTTTGTCAGTTAGCATATGATTATTTAAATTACTCTTATTATTTCTTAACGTATAGCTCTTAATTCATGATTCTTGTCACCACAATAAATCATTACAGTTGTCGCAGTGACAGCCGTCGTCTCTAATACAGCTGAACCTCTGAATGAAACATCTACAACAAGTTCAATATCAACATCAACAACAAGTGACATTTCGACAACAACTACTCCAAAAGGTATGTATCATATCAACTAAAGTGAAAACATGTTTTGATAAACTGTGTTGGTTTAGAAATCTTTTTAATCATAAATGTATGTCAGGACACAAATGTTTCCAGGTTAGTGTCAGATATATTTACACATACATAAGTTGTGGGATTTAGTGAATGCTAATTATTAATTTTAACGCGTTCAATTACACTTTATGTTATGATTTATATTTTATTGCTTATTTCTTCATTACTTTTTATTTGAACAATATACTGTAAATAAAAGGTTAAGTGTAATTTGCAAGGGAATATCAATAGTATGATTGAAAACTAATGAACAGCTTTGAATTGTTATCTTCTGTTTTGAGTTGTAGCACGGTTTGTAACGTTTTATTATATTAGCAGTTTAATAAAAAAAAAAAGGCTGAAGTTAACCCACAGATTTATCAAATATCATTATTATTATCAACAGTAGCCGATACCAACACGATAACAAGTACATCTACCCCAAAGCCAACACCAATAAGAAATTCATCAAAAGAAGTCATGTCAATAACTTCTACGCCCAAAGGTTTGTAAGGAAATCCTAAAACAGTATTTATACCAGGTTTGAAGTTTTTAAATTATATACGGTACTTAAAGGGATATTCAGGCAAAATGATGACAAAAACATTAAAATGATCTTATGTACTCAAATCACACTAAAATGACTTTTCTTGAAGTTTCAGCATGAATTTCTGCTTAAATTCTATATAGTTTGGATGGAAGCGTAAATATATCTATATATGTTGAACAAAATTTAGACGCCAATAGAATCACCAAATAGTTTTAAAACAATTCAGATGACTTTAACAAACCCTTGAAGTTACAATTACAGATATTGTGGATATTGTATGGTTGAAACAAGTCTAAGTCATTCATTTGACATGTTCTTTAACCTTTCCTAGCGCTCTAACCTTAGTTAGGAAACCACCATTTTATTCTTTATATGGAGGAAAGTTTTGTTTCTTTGACTGTCTAATATATTTATTTTGAGGGCATTTACAGAATAATGAATGAAAAATTCAAAACTAAGAAATAAAAATTTTGCCTGAGTCTCCCTTTAATTAGGTCAAGTAGAGAAATAGGTAAATCCTAACTTAAAGTAATATCTTATTCTACGTTTTTATTTTATTTTATTTAAGTGTAATTTGCAAGGGAATATCAATAGTATGATTGAAAACTAATGAACAGCTTTGAATTGTTATCTTCTGTTTTGAGTTGTAGCACGGTTTGTAACGTTTTATTATATTAGCAGTTTAATAAAAAAAAAAAGGCTGAAGTTAACCCACAGATTTATCAAATATCATTATTATTATCAACAGTAGCCGATACCAACACGATAACAAGTACATCTACCCCAAAGCCAACACCAATAAGAAATTCATCAAAAGAAGTCATGTCAATAACTTCTACGCCCAAAGGTATGTAAGGAAATCCTAAAACAGTAATTATACCAGGTTTGAAGTTTTTAAATTATATACGGTACTTTATAAGGTCAAGTAGAGAAATAGGTAAATCCTAACTTAAAGTAATACATGTATCTTATTCTACGTTTTTATTTTATTTCTTTTTTTTTTTATTAAATTGAAGATAAACATGAAGTCTATACTGTACAGTTTCACTTAAGTTTATGTAACATTGGTAACCTTGTAGTTTAGTTTATGCAAATTTGAAAGTACAATACCCTGTATATGACCTGGTAAGTAATTGCAAGCAAGCATTTATAGTTTGATTTACCAACTGCTTTAAAATTATCGTGTGCTTTTGGTTATATTTCGTTCCTGTTTTCGTTAGAAATGTTGTGTATTCCATTATGTCTCATAAGCTATAGAGTTCATAAATGTCATACAATTCTTCTTGCTCTGACTTAGATAAATGTCTTAAGAAATGTAAACATGTGTTAAATTGCAGTGCTTAGTAACATATATAATAACATACATAGATAAAATAATAATATTTTAGAAATAACAAACTCCATGGTAGCGCTTTCAATGCTTTCTTAGCATATCTTCAGCCGAAATTTTAATAGAAAGCATTAAAAGCGCTACCGAAAATATTATATTGAAAATATGGAGTTTGTTATTTCTTAAATATTATTATTTTATCTATTTCAACACTGCACGTTTTGATATTAGCAGTAAAACTGTAAACAAGCACTAGTTCTGATTTCTTGAAATATATTATTTTAGTTATCTGATTATTTATAAAGTTTGTAAGCACTACAGTATAAGAAATTCTTAATTATTAACGGTACATTTTTAGTTCGAACAATATACAGTAAACGAACGGGTAAGTGTAATCTGCAAGGGAATATCAATAGTATGATTGAAAACTATTGAACAGCTTTGAATTGTTATCTTCTGTTTTGAGTTGTAGCACGGTTTGTAACGTTTTATTATATTAGCAGTTTAATAAAAAAAAAAGGCTGAAGTTATCCCACAGATTTATCAAATATCATTATTATTATCAACAGTAGCCGATACCAACACGATAACAAGTACATCTACCCCAAAGCCAACACCAATAAGAAATTCATCAAAAGAAGTCATGTCAATAACTTCTACGCCCAAAGGTATGTAAGGAAATCCTAAAACAGTAATTATACCAGGTTTGAAGTTTTTAAATTATATACGGTACTTTATAAGGTCAAGTAGAGAAATAGGTAAATCCTAACTTAAAGTAATACATGTATCTTATTCTACGTTTTTATTTTATTTCTTTTTTTTTATTAAATTGAAGATAAACATGAAGTCTATACTGTACAGTTTCACTTAAGTTTATGTAACATTGGTAACCTTGTAGTTTAGTTTATGCAAATTTGAAAGTACAATACCCTGTATATGACCTGGTAAGTAATTGCAAGCAAGCATTTATAGTTTGATTTACCAACTGCTTTAAAATTATCGTGTGCTTTTGGTTATATTTCGTTCCTGTTTTCGTTAGAAATGTTGTGTATTCCATTATGTCTCATAAGCTACAGAGTTCATAAATGTCATACAATTCTTCTTGCTCTGACTTAGATAAATATCTTAAGAAATGTAAACATGTGTTAAATTGCAGTGCTTAGTAACATATATAATAACATACATAGATAAAATAATAATATTTCAGAAATAACAAACTCCATGGAAGCGCTTTCAATGCTTTCTTAGCATATCTTCAGCCGAAATTTTAATAGAAAGTATTAAAAGCGCTAACGAAAATATTACATTGAAAATATGGAGTTTGTTATTTCTTAAATATTATTATTTTATCTATTTCAATACTGCACGTTTTGATATTAGCAGTAAAACTGTAAACAAGCACTAGTTCTGATTTCTTGAAATATATTATTTTAGTTATCTGATTATTTATAAAGTTTGTAAGCACTAAAATATAAGAAATTCTTAATTATTAACGGTACATTTTTAGTTCGAACAATATACAGTAAATGAACGGGTAAGTGTAATCTGCAACCAAATGTCAATAGTATGATTGAAAACTATTGAACAGCTTTGAATTGTTATCTTCTGTTTTGAGTTGTAGCACGGTGTGTAACGTTTAATTATACATGTATTAGCAGTTTAATAAAAAAAAAACACAGATTTATCAAATATCATTATAATTATCAACAGTAGCCGATACCAACATGACAACAAGTACATCTACCCCAAAGCCAACACCAATAAGAAATTCATCAAAAGAAGTCATGTCAATAACTTCTACGCCCAAAGGTATGTAAGGAAATCCTAAAACAGTAATTATACCAGGTTTGAAGTTTTTAAATTATATACGGTACTTAATTAGGTCAAGTAGAGAAATAGGTAAATCATAACTTAAAGTAATATCTTATTCTACGTTTTTATTTTATTGTTTTTTATTAAATTGAAGAGAAGCATGGAGTCTATATGCCTAAGTAACATTGGTATTCATGTAGTTTAGTTTATACAAATTTAAAAGTACAATATCCTGTATGACCTGGTAAGTATTTGCAAGCAAGCATTTATAGTTTGATTTACCAACTGCTTTAAAATTATCGTGTGCTTTTGGTTATATTTCGTTCCTGTTTTCGTTAGAAATGTTGTGTATTCCATTATGTCTCATAAGCTATAGAGTTCATAAATGTCATACAATTCTTCTTGCTCTGACTTAGATAAATGTCTTAAGAAATGTAAACATGTGTTAAATTGCAGTGCTTAGTAACATATATAATAACATACATAGATAAAATAATAATATTTTAGAAATAACAAACTCCATGGTAGCGCTTTCAATGCTTTCTTAGCATATCTTCAGCCGAAATTTTAATAGAAAGCATTAAAAGCGCTACCGAAAATATTATATTGAAAATATGGAGTTTGTTATTTCTTAAATATTATTATTTTATCTATTTCAACACTGCACGTTTTGATATTAGCAGTAAAACTGTAAACAAGCACTAGTTCTGATTTCTTAAAATATATTACTTCAGTTATCTGATTATTTATATAGTTTGTAAGCACTACAGTATAAGAAATTCTTAATTATTAACGGTACATTTTTAGTTCGAACAATATACAGTAAACGAACGGGTAAGTGTAATCTGCAAGGGAATATCAATAGTATGATTGAAAACTATTGAACAGCTTTGAATTGTTATCTTCTGTTTTGAGTTGTAGCACGGTTTGTAACGTTTTATTATATTAGCAGTTTAATAAAAAAAAAGGCTGAAGTTAACCCACAGATTTATCAAATATCATTATAATTATCAACAGTAGCCGATACCAACACGATAACAAGTACATCTACCCCAAAGCCAACACCAATAAGAAATTCATCAAAAGAAGTCATGTCAATAACTTCTACGCCCAAAGGTATGTAAGGAAATCCTAAAACAGTAATTATACCAGGTTTGAAGTTTTTAAATTATATACGGTACTTAAAGGGATATTCAGGCAAAATAATGACAAAAATATTAAAATGATCTTATGTACTCAAATCACACTAAAAATGACTTTTCTTGAAGTTTCAGCATGAATTTCTGCTTAATTTCTATATAGTTTGGATAAAAAGCAAAGTAAAATTAGAAAACCAGCATAAACTACATATTGACATGAAATAGTTTTAAGTCATATTAAGCAAAAAATAGAAAATATAATTTTTATAAAAAAAATATTAAAATGAAGAATTATAATCTACAAAATTAATATAGTATTTTGGAATTCATGCCATCAGGAATAATTGTACCTAGCTTATACATCCATGAAGTTTCTTTTAATAATCTTTGCCAGTTATTCTTTACTTTATCAATTGGCATGAATGAAAAATCTTTGATAGAATGCCCTTCAGAATTAAAATGTTCAGATACATTGGTAATAGTGTCAGGAAAGTGTTTAATATCAAATTTGTGACTATTCATTCTTTGACTACATTTTTGCTGAGTTTGACCAACATACTATTTTTCACATTTTTTACAAGTTATAAGATAAATGACATCTGAAGATATACATGAAAAATCACGTTTTATAGCCAATTCTTTAGGTATAGTAGTACTTGAAAAATTATTAGATTCAACAATATTATTACAATGAGTACAACGAGGTCGACAGCATTTAGATACTGAACCAACCATGAATTTGGCATTTAAATGAGTGTGAACTAAATTGTCTTGTAAATTTCTCGGTCTCTTATAAGCAACAATTGGTTTGTATTTGTATAATTTACGTACACTTTCATTTGGAGAAAATTTCAATAGGCTCCAATATTGGTTAATTATTTTACCTATATTAGGTAAAGATGGATTATATGTACACACAAAGGGAATAATATATTCACGTTCTTCTGATTTGTCTTTTAATTTTAATGTATCCTCCCTCGATAAAGTTGATGCTCTGGTAATTGTGTCTGTAATGATATTTTCTGAATAATTTCTGGCACGGAAATAACCTCGTAGTTACCAAAACTGATATTCTCATAACGCACTTTTTTCTTATAGTAGCGTAATGTGTAAAATGCCGTCATCCTAAGAACGCAATTCATTCATAAAAGGCGCGCGGCAGTGACGTCATTTAAAACACGCGACTTGTCTTAAATGTGGGTGTAAGGCACCGGACGGTAGATAATCCTGTCTGACATATAAGAAAATGTGATATGCACTGAAAAAATTATATTGACCGAGGCGATATCGCCTTGGTCAATTTTTTTCTGGATATATCACATCATATTCACCAGCTAAAATGTTCATATCTATATACATGTAATATTGTATGTTTAGTGGAGCTTGAGTTGAATTTAGCAAATATTAGAAGTTTGACAGAATGATGTGTTCGACAAGCTATATAGGAGACAATTGAATTGCATTCGTCACACCGTTGTGACAAATGTGATCCGTGTCAAATGTCCCCAAACAGTGTCCTGTATTTAAGGGTGTGACGTTAGAGTAATTCAACAAAACTGATTAGTAGATTCTAAACAAGGAGAAAATTTCCAAAGTTAAAAAAAAGAATTCTTGTTTTTACATTTCTCATATGTTTAATAAGCAAATGTTGTTTAAAACTTACAACGGACATTTATCCTTTCAATCAATTTTCTATTCAGAAATCTTGACAACATCTTGTACAGGTTTTAAATATTTTGTTTTTATTGATGTCTGTGTAGTTTCGTAATTTAAAATGAAACATACCAATTTTCCATGGCTTATAGACTTAAAAATGACTTCATTGTTAAAGAATTATTACAGAATATATCTAGCATCATATATCTTAAATGAAAAATTTGCAATTACATTTGATGTAATCTCGAGGAAAGTGCAAATATACATGAACTAAATTCTGACATTTAATATCTAGAGGATTTTTGAAGTTTGATGATAAAATAAACAAGCCACTTGGCGCTTACAAAACTTGGAGTTTATGTCACTTATATCAATTTATCTTTATGTAGCGAGCTCAACATCAGTAACAACAACGACCAATGGAACAAAACAACCATCAACGTCTAAAAATGTTGCATCAACCAGTATACCAGGTATGTTGTAAAACATTTATTGATTCTATTTCCATTTCTTACATTCTTAAGATCTTTTAGAGTAATTGAAAACTAGATGATATTGAAAAAGTGCCGTATTTTTTTCACAAAGCAGGAAAATCGGCACGGGTATATATGGTGGCTGATTTGGAACGCTTTTGTGCGTCGTGTTAAGGCTAGCGACAACACGACAACGCGCCAAATGGCACGTAATCGCACTGTCGTCTTATCGTCCAGTCGCTAACGAAGCACACCAAACGGCGCTTTGTCGTATGGCGTGTGATCGCGATGTCACATTGTCACTCGGCTCAAATTAGTGGATTGGCTAATTTATAATATATATATAAGCCAAGCGAAAGGGCGACATCGCGACAACGCACCGCACAACAACGCGCTGTTTGGCGTGCTTCGCTAGCGACAAGACAAGAAGATGAAAAGGTGAAAAGACGATAACGATATAGGTTGTGTTGTCGCTATAGACAACGCAACGTGCAAATTGTACCAAATCAGCCACCATACAAATCAGCCAACATATAAACTGCATATCTAGTTTCTAAACATGCATTAACAAAATCAAAATGATGAAAAACCTTTGAATTACCCAAAATCTAGTTTTTCCATGTTAACACGTGGCCTTTCACCTAATTTTTGTGAAAAATCGTTGTTTTGTGGCATATTGTTTTCATTTTTAATTAACCTTTTACCGCATGAGCATTGTGAAAAATGGCCGTTTTCATTGAAAAGCCTCCTGTCACAAGTTTCAACTGCTATGAAACTGTGAAAAATACATTGTATGCTTCAATACTGATGAAACTTGGCACAAATATTGACTGGACCATAGCCTCTGTAACAGCATGCTCAATTTTAAATTTCCTGTTACCATAGCAACGTCTCAAAATTGCAAAAATGTCACTATTTTGAATTGCGTTTAAACTGATTTCAAAGTGCTGCAACTTTTAAATGGATTGAGATAGGCTTTTCAGCGTTGGTTATACGTTACCTTAAGATCGACCTGTAGCCATTTTTAGCCTGTCACATGTCCAAAAAATTTTCGCCCCCCCCCCTTCAAACCCCGTAACAGAAGGGGGCAATTACCCCCTTATGTACCTTTTTGGTGGGGGCGGCGCCGAAAAAGTGATCACATTTTATAACAACATTTCTCAAACGAAAAAGTGTTTGGAGCCTGAATAGGGCATTTTTTTCACAATATGAGGCCTCAAAAACACGTCTATATGAGATAAACGGTTAAAGAGTATTCTCAAATCAACTTAACGATCACAGGAGTTTTGTCAATTCAGTTAGTTAAAATAAATAAAATAAACGAAATAATAGTTAGTAGACAAACATCTGTGGAGACCCGATTTATTTTCTCTAACCCTAAAAATGTGAAGTGACTGCAGTGATAATTTTAAAAAATCAGGGATCGCAACTTTCGTTTGATATTTGTTTTTTGTTGTTGTTGGTGTTGTTTTTTTCATATATTTTAACTTCTTTTTCAGGTATGCTTATCCTACAATGCATGACGTCATACTTAGTAGCTGTTGCCGTCAATCGATAGAATACAAGGAAATAGAAACATTTAAGTAGTGTATTTTGGCAGCTGCATTTAATTAAATCTTTCTTTTTATTAACTGAATGACAAAGACAATGCTATTACAATATCAAGTGTTTTATATTATTTTTGTACAAAAGGATAGTAATTTGCTTTGGTTAATCGTCTGAATATTAATCAGTCAATACATTGGTTGTTTATATAAATAATTTCAAACATTAAAAATTGCTTAATGTTCATTAGTAAGCATTTTAAATAGGTCGAACGGATGCATACATACAAGTAATTTGTAACCGAGTACTTTAATCAATTAGCCTGGTCGCCCATTTTTCTAGAAAATTTAGCTGATTTGCAGAATTTAATGCTATGAGACAGAATAAGTTGATATTTTAGCAAAAACAAAACAAAAACAAACCCCAAAAATGTCATTTCTTCATTAGTTTTAACTGTTTAAATATTAGTTTGTTTAGATGTTTGTTTGTTTGTCTATCAATCTAATGACAGTATATATTTTTGTTTACATTTTTAGTAAGAATTTCATTCATTATGAAAAGTATTTCTTTTTGGATTATCTGTCGATGTTATTTTTATGTCCTGTTTGCAAAATGATAATAAATTATATGATTTGTAAATTGTATTTAACTTCTTTCAAATATATTTAAATATAAAAAGGTTGCTTTCTCTAAACATTATTTCTAATAATGATAATAATGATGATGATGATGATTTTATTGACAACAAACATGCATTTGGCAAACTCGTGCGATGCTACTTAACCACAAGTTTTCTACATTTTTCTACAACTGATCGACATATAGAACTTTCTTATGTTGCTAAATTTCGATATTTTGTCATCTCCCTCGCTTTCATGCTTCACGGGACAAGAACCCTCTAATCAGATGTTTTAAAGGGAGACACAGGCAAAATTTCCATTTTTTCGTTGTGAATGTTTCATTCATTATTCTGTTAATGTCCTCAAAATGAATACACTAGGCAGCCACAGGAACAAAACTTTTCTCCTTATAAAGAATAAAATGGTGGTTTCCTTACCTAAACCACGTGGGTCAGGTAAGAGCGTAAGGATTTCACAATTGTTGTCACAGTGAACTCTGGAAACGTTAAAGAACATGTCAAATGAATGGGCTAGACTTATTTCAATCATACAATATTCACAATATTTGTTATTGTAACTTCCAGGGTTTGTTCAAGTCATATTGTTTTAAACTACTCTGTGATTCTGTCGGCGTCTAAAATTCGTTCAACATGTATAGATGTATTTACGCTTCAAACCCAAAATATAAATAATTTACAAAGAAATTCATGCTGGTACTTTCAAAAATGTCATTTTAGCGTGATTGAAGTTCATATTATTATTTTGATATTTTTGTCATTAATTTGCCTGAGTATCCCTTTAATAGGTTTAACGGTTTGTCTATAGTGTTACAGAGTTTGGTATTGTTCAAAAAATTTTACAATAATATACATGTACGTATATTTTCGTTTTTATTTTGAATGATATACATATACATGTATTTTCAGAGAACATTTTTGTACGTTAGGATAGCTTTTTGTATCACTGTGTCAATGTTGTCTGAATATTTCTTTATTGTAGTTAATTCAATAGAATTATAGGAAAAAAATTGTCGAGTGTTCATGATTATTTACTTCCACTTTAATATAATAAAGAATACCACAACAGAAAATCAATGATGACGTGTGACAAAGTAAAAAAGTCCTGATATTGTTTGCTTATCATCAAAATAATTTGAGAACAAGAGCTGACTCTGAAAAGTGACTTATGCCCCCCGAAAGAATGCTTTAACATAAAATCCGAATTATATTCCAAATTACCGGTAACATACCCCCGACAGCGCCTTTGATAATTATCATTCCTAAAATTTAACTGAAATTCCATTAGAAGTTTAGGAGAAATAGCCTAAACAAATTTTACTAATATAGACAATAAGAATCCCTAAATAAAGCCCAACACGGCAAAATTGAAAATGCTGCAGGCTCGGTTTGATTGAGCCTGTTCATGGACGGTACTATCAAGTGCAAACTACCGTCCACGCCCCCTAGCACCGGCTTAAGCAGAATTCAACATTAAATATGAACTGGTAAATTTAGAATTTAGAGACATCCGCAGATGTGTTCATATGGCGGTTATCATGGATCCTTCAATGTGACACGTTAGTGCCATTCCATGAAAAGCGGCATACGGTCCCCAAGTAAAAAAATGCATTTGCCCTAAACGAGAAAACAATGGGCGGAACTAAATAAAATGGAATTTTGAAAGGGGATCTGAGGTTATGAAGCCTGCATATCACAGATATCACGTCAAAAGACAAATTTAAAAAGAAGGCTACATATCCTAAGGGTGATTCAACAGTATTCAAGTTAGGAATACTGGAACCACCCAACTAGAAAGATGCTGAATAGAAAGAACTAAAATAACACAAGCACAACAATTATGTCGTGCTGAACGATCTTTAAGAATCGGAAATATAACATCCCTGATATAACAGTCCATCATCAAGGGCTAAAAAATGTGCGAAAATATTCATGCACAATGCAAAACTAGACTTGGAAATCATGGGACCATGCAAACAATTTTAGAGATATTCACTGAAATTCCCCAAGTGGTTTTGGAGATGAAGGATGTACAAAGTTAATTGACTAATCAAGATACTATGCAAAACAAGGCTTGGTGACACACAATCCTTTGAAATTTCACTGAAATCTCATGAAGCGCTGACAAGCTCATTTTACTAAAACATTGACCATTAAGGAGGCCATAACTGTGCCAAAAAATCAAGCGGGAAATCGGGATACTATGCACAACTAGGCATGGTGACAAACAATCTTGTAAAGTTTCACTCAAATCCATCCAACGGGTTTGGATATGTATCGTGGACAAGTTTATTTTACCCAAAAATTGACCATTAAAGGGCCGAAACTGTGCAAAAAAAATAAAGCGGAAAATTAAAACACTATGCACAACTAGGCATGGTGACAAAATCCTGTGAAGTTTCACTGAAATCCCGAGAATAAGCGCGGACAAGCTTATTTTACTTAAAAATTGACCATTAAGGGGCCATAATGGTGCCTAAAATATTCAAGCGGAAATTCAAGAGAGAATGCACAACTAGGCTTGGTGACAAACAATCCTGTGAAGTTTCACTGAAATCCCTCATCTGTTTTGATCATAATGCGCGGACAACACTTTCTGAGGACGCACGGACGGAAGGACGGACGGACTGATAGACAGTGCGATTATTATATGCCGCCTTTTGGGGCATTATGATAACCAAGGGATAATTGCTCTCGTTCCAATATTGGGAATTTGTTTACATATGTGCAGACAAATTGTCAGACATTCGTATGTTGCAGAAATATTATTGTTTTAACAAATGAAGTTTAGGATTTTTTACTTAGTTTTTATTTATTCAACCTACTTTAAACATGTTTGTACTTTGTAATTATAACTTTATACAGATTGTTTTCAGGTCAAGTCAACTCTATTGACCATTCAGGCAGAATAGTAAAATGTTATGGGAAGCTGCGAGTCTTTTGTCACTGCCGATATTAGAAATATGAAATTTGCTAGCTAGCATGTTCATGAGCTGCAAGCCCTAATGATCAAAGACAAAGACTGTTTCATTGATGTGTTTATGTGATAAGAAAGTGGTCAACGAAATAAAAATCTAATATTATGTATGTTTTATAAATACTTAACACATGTGTCTTTTAAGGTGTTTTACAACAGTAAATCAAATTATCAAAAAGGAGAAAAAGCGTTGAAAATACAATGAAATTAGTTATTTTGTTGGGAATTACATCCCTACCATAAAAAAATGGCTTTTTTACGGTTTTTTGTGAAACTGATATAATTTCGAGCCAAAAAAACTTCCGTAAAGAGCCCTCGGCCAAAGCCCAAAATTTAAAAGGTAAAAGTTTTTTAAAAAAATCCCATTTAAAATAATATGTTTTTTTTTCAAAAAAACCCTTAATTTTTTAAACAATTTTAAAAAAAACGTTGCCCAGAACTTTAACTTTTAAAAAACCGACCCAATCGTGGATGTTTCATT